TTTTTTGGGGGGCTACTGGGGTTTGAACTCATGTCCTTGCGCATGCAAGGCAGGCCACTGAACCGCTGAGCTAAATCCCTGGCCCTTATTGAGGATTTTTGACACTATATTCATTAGAGGAATTGCCCTGAATTGCCCTGTAGTTCTTACTTTTAGTTGGATCCTTCTGTGGTTTTGGTATCAAGGTAATGCTTGCTTCCAGGAATGAATTTGGGAGTATTGCTTCCTTTTCAATTTTATTAAAGAGTCTGAGAAGTAGTGGCATTAGGTCTTCTCTAAATTTTTTGTAGATTTCAGCAGTGAATCCACCAGGAACTAGGGTTTTCTTTGTTGGTAGGTTTTTGAGCTTGGGCAATTTTTTTTTCCCAGTACTGCAGATTGAATTCAGGATCTTAAGCTTGCCAGGCAGGCACGGTGCCACTGAGCAGTAGCCCTAGCCTGGTCGGTTTTTATCTTCAGTTTCATTGACTGATATTAGTTTATTTAGAATTTTCTTATCTTCTTTTTTTTGGTACTGGGGATCAAACTCTGGCCCTTGTGCTTGTGAGGCAGGTACCAGACCACTGAAATCCCTGGCCCGTTAATATCTTCTTTATTCAGCTTTAATAATTCACATATTTCCAGGAGTCTGCCCATTTCTTCTGTTTTCCATCTTGCTACAATACATACAGATTATCAAAGTAGGTATTGATGATCTTCTAGATTTCTGCAGGATCTGTTGTGATTTCACCCTTTTTATTCTAATTGCATGGATTTGAGTCTTTTTCTTTTTTCTTTTTGATAAGGTTGGCTGAGGTTTTGTCACTTTCATCTAATCTTTCAAAGAACCAATTTGATTCTTTGATTCTTTGTATTTCTTAGTCTCCATTGCATTAATTTCTGCTCTGATGTTTATAATTCCTCCCTCATGCAAGTTTTGGCTTGACTTGCTCTTTTTCTAAAAGCTTGAGGTTTCACATTATGTTGTTTATTTGCTTTGTTTTTCTGATATGGGAATTCACCTCTATAAACTTCCCTTATAGAACTGCTACATTGCATCCCAAAAATTCGAGTGTGTTGTATTAGGATTATTAATTGTAAAAACTGTTTAATTTCTCCTTCAATTTCATTTGTTCATGAGGGTGATATTTAATTTCCATGTGTTTATAAAGTTCTTATGGTTTCTTTTGCCATTGATTTCCAATTTCATTGCACTGTGGTCTGATAATACACATGGGATAATTTCAATTCCTTTGCATTTACTTAAGCATTTTCTATGAGCTAGTCTGTGGTCTGTTTTGGAGAATGTCCCGTGGGCAACTGGGATGAAAGTATTCGGATGTTGTGGAGTAGAACAGTGGAATTACCGAGTGCATTTTTTCAAGAGTTTGGTTCAGTTTTGATTATTTCTTTGTTGAATTTTTGTCTAGTTGATTTATTTGTGAAAGTGGCTTATTGAAATCCCCCACTACAATTGTATTAGTGCTTATTTGATTTTTCATATCTGTTAATATTCGTTTTATATAGTTGGATGTGTTGGTATTTGGTGTCATATATGTTCATAGTATTTCTTCGCTTGGGTTGTTCCCTTTACAAGGATGTGGTGACCTGCTTTGTCTCTCTTAATCAGCCTTGACGTAAAATCCACAAGCTAAAGACAGCATCACGGTACTTAGGCCCTGAGATTAAAACAATTTGCTTAAATCAGTAATGGCAAACCTTTAGAGCTTTTCAGTGATAGAAACAGACTTCTTTGGCACATGTGCCATGGGTTTGCCACCACTAGTTAAGTTATTCAGCTAGTATAGGAAACAGAAAAAACACAAATACATTGTTTCCTGAATTTTATGTAGGTTGTAGACTTAATTACTTTGTACATAGAGACAATCTGCTTTCTTATCCCATCCTGTCCTGTCCCCATCCTCGTCCCCTTACCTGGGATCGAACTCGGGACCTTGTCCTTGCAAGGCAGGCCATGGAACCACTGAGCTAAATCCCTGGCCCAAGACAATCTGCTTTTAAAATAACCTTGATTCTGTGTGTACATGGAAAGTCCATTAAGAGAGCCATTTTTTCAAGAGCCCACCATATGCCAAATGTTGAGGCATTGGTTTTTGGACATCCTAATCTCCGCTGCCTTGCCACTCCCCAATTATTTTTTCTGGTACTGAGGATTGACCTCAGGGCTTTGCACTTGTGATGCAGACTCAGTGTCGCTGAGTTAAATCCCCCCACCCCTTTATTTTTTGGAGACAGGATCTCCCTATATGTTGTCCAGACTGGCCTTGAACTCAATCCATAGTTTAGGCTGGCCTTGAACTTGTGATACTCCTGCTTCAGCCTCCCCAGTGCTGAGATCACAACTGTTTGTTACCTAAGCAGCTGGACTCTGGACCTCAGTAGCCCTTTGAAGGTGGTGTGTATGTCCATTTTAAGGAACGGGAAGTTGATGGTCAGAGATTTGGTGAGATTATGCTGGGGCTCAAATCAACTCTGAAGTCTGTGTTTGAGATTCCCCTCTCTTTTGCTTCATTCTGGCTAGATGAATCCGTTCTTTTGTCGATTTCACTGATATTGTATGTTTGTTTATCTACCATGCTTAGTGTAGGCATTAACTCTATTAACATTTTGGTTTCAGACTAATGTTACGTGCTAACCGAATCTTGCATGAGTTTTGTTATATGGTGTTCAGATAATGGGTGATGGTGTTACCAAAACCCAATCTTGTGCTGCTTTGACCGACTTCGCTGAATTTCCTCCCTACCTTAATCTTGCTTTTTTTGAGGACAGATGCTTTTAGGCCAGAGGTCTGTCTTTATGTGGGTGAGTCCAAACTGGTTTTTATCTAAGGTGACTGGTACAGTGACAGCCAGATAACCTCTAACTTTATTATAGAGTCACCTACATGGTCATTGACCCTCCTCCTTCCCCACCATGGTTGTCTACACATTGTCATGGCACGACTACAAAGAACCCTAAAGGGCATGAAAAGAAGTGGTGCCCAGATTCTCAGAAAATTTCTCAGAATATTCTCATTCATTGTCCCACTCCTTCATTGCCTGTCCCACCCCCTCATTTCTTTTATCCTGTATTCATCTATAACTTCCAACTCCCAACCACTTGAGAGATTGATTTGGGAGTTAATCCTATTTCTCTTGTTCTGCATACAGCTGACAAACCCATTTCCCTGCATGATTCAGACCCAGGACAACTTTGCTGTCCTTGCCACACTGTTGAGTTATTGTCTCAGCGAAGTCCAAGGCAAGGGGTAACCCTGACTCCTCCTTCTTGAAGGTCTTGATCTACAGGTCGAGATGGGGTGAGAAAACTCAGTTTAAAGTCAGAAATTGATAATAGTGGTACGGTCTTTTTGTGTGTTTATGTGGTTTTTTGAGACCGGGTCTCACTGTGTAGTGAGTCTTACCTGGAAATCACTATGTTGTCCAGGCTGACAGTGATCCTCCTTGCCTCAGCCTCCCGAGGGCTGGGATTACAGCCACCACACCTGGCTTCATGTTGAATTTCTTGACCAATCTTAGTTCAGTTTTTAAAATATACCTTGGAATTTTAATTACTGGTTTTTCTCATGAATGAGAAATTTTTTCCTTTCTTCCCTTTGGTGTCCTTCTTGTGTCCTACTCTTCCTGCCTCCTATACCTCCATTTTTAATCCTTCACATAAATTACATCGTCAGTTAGGATTCTAGTGTGGTGAGGTATTATAATATGAGAGATATATGTGATCCAGGTTTTATAGGTAGTAGTGCTTTTCTCCATATAACTGAAGATGGCAACTTGATATAATCAGTAACTCTGACTATTGAAATTACTTTTTTTTTAAGGTTTTTTGTTTGTTTGTTTGTTTGGTTTCTACCTACAAGTTGTTTTTGATTTTTACCTGTAAGTAAGCCTTGCTTTGGATTGTATTATCTTGTGCATGATTTGATTTCCAGACTGCCTTTGCTTATTTTCTCTGGGGCTTAGGTGGGTTTCTGGAATTATCAATTAATTGTTTTATGTTTACTTTGTTTTCATCTACTGACATAAATGTCATGTTTGAGAACATTGGTGTCTTTTAAAATTAATAAAAATACACATTTTAATCTAGTATAGTGACTTTCAAACTCCTGGGAACTTGTTAGGGAATCCACATGGTTAAAAATATTTTCTTTCTTGGTTTTTGGTACCAGGGATGGAACTTGGAACCTTGCGCTTTTGAGGCAGGCGGCTGCAACACTGAGCTAAATCCCCAGCCCAAAACTATTTTCATAGAAACACTAATGGTATTCGATATTTTCATTCTGTTGATATAAATACTGATGGCAAAAATGCAATATAAGGAAGGTATAAACCCCTTAGCATGAAATCAAGGCCAGTGGCATTAGACTTTATTAGTCATTCTGTACTTCACTGCCATGTGCTCACAGTTACGGGGAAAAACCCAGCACTTTCCTACTTAGGATTTTCTTTAAAGAAACAGCAAAACTTGTTCATTCCTTAAAATCCTGACCTATTTCCATCCAGTCCTGTCCCATCCCCCCTTCCACTCTCTTTCCTTTCCCTTCTCTTCCCTTCTTCTCGCCTCTCCTTGATTCTTCTCTTTCATTTTTCTTTTACTGGAGTTTGAATCCCGGGCCTTCACCTTGACTTCCATTGCCAGCTCTTTTTGATTTTTTGAGGCAGAGTTTTGCTAAGTCACTAAGTTGCCTGATTGGAACTTTTGATCTTCCTGCCTCTGCTGGCTAGCATGCTGTGCTTATAGGTGTGTGCCACGATGCCCAGCTGATCCTTTAGTACTTAAAAATATATATTCTGGTTTTTTTTTGCATGAAGCACTTAATGCTTACAAAAGTTTAATGGTTGTCTTGAGGAAAAGCACTTGTTTTAGTTACAGACTAAGCCATGCATTTTTTTTCATAGAATACCATTTTTGTTTGATAAAATAATTGATAAACTATGCTTTGAATCTTCGGTGGTATTTGATGTGGACCCCTCATTTCAGGGAAAACACCAGATGAGCATTGGTGAAGCAAATCTTTCAAATACTGACACAGTGCATTATACAGTCATTTTACAATTCCTGTTAAATAATGGGAAGCTATTACACTCACGGTGGCATTCAAGTTGACAAGCGTGACAGTTGCGCTCTAAACTCAAATTCTACAACCAACAACCAATACCATGATGGACAGGCCTGCTGTATAAGTTGTGCCCTTAGGAACTAGGCATTTGTGTCCGCCATAGCACACATGAATCCTGTATATGACATAACCTTGCTTGGCTTTGTATCCCTTTCTGCGTGCTTTATCTGGCTTTGTGGAGTGTGAGCCCTGTGGTACTGCCAGCAGTTGATCCTCAAGAGGAAGTGTATCACATGGGAGTTGCTCTTTCTCTGTACATGCTGGATGTTCTTGTTTGTACCTGTCTTGGCTTACAGGAGGAGTCCCAAAGATGCAGGGTCTTCAAGCCTGGGCTGAGAAAGAGACTGATTAGCAGTGGATGACAGACTGAAGATCTGTGACCCAGACTACCTGATGGCACTGCTGTGTTTTTCCTTGTCACCACCAAATAACTGGTCCTACATAATACCTTCTTTTTGTTTTAGCCTCATTTTTAAACTATGGGTGGAGAACAGGCTATGCCTGAGTCTTAAGTTACTTCATGTTTTATAGAACAGCAATTTTTTTTTGCTGTGCCTCGCCCTAATGTAGTCCATTTTATAAAGTGATAATTTGATGTTTTTTGTGTTACTGAGGATTGAACCCAGGGCCTTTCCATTGAGCAACATTCCTAGCCCTTAAATTTTTTGAGACAGGGTCACATTAAGTCATTAAATTGCCTAGACTGGGCCCATCCTCCCGCCTCAGCTTCCCTGAGGGAAGGGACTACAGCTATGTGCCCCCACACCTGGCTAAGTTACTCCATTTTGAGTACAAGTACCAAGGCAGAATGATTTCACATTTTGTTGGTACAAGTAAGCAAACACTATTTGCCTATTACAACCATAAACCACAAACTTCTTTATGCCAATGAAGTTAGTGAAATTGAATTGAATCAGTAACATATGGATACTTGGGCCTTTTAGAATATATCAGACAAACTAGGCACATGATCTTATCAATTATGTATGATGTAACTCCTCACCCAAGACTGTTGTAGATGCATACTGACCATCTGGAGCCTTCCCCAGGAAGATCGCCACAGCAGAGAACATCCACCTGCCCTCTGCTTTCAGCTTTAGTGTGATTTCTCCTGCTGGAGGACACTTTGAAACTGCTTTCTAGACTGTGCCTTGGAATATCGTTAGATGAAGTGTTATGTGTGACTTGAGTGTTATGGTATTAGTAATGAAGATTGGAATGGAGTAAAAGAACTTGTGACTGTTGTGGTCACAATCACAAGTGAAACAGTACTTGGTGAATTAAAGCCAATTAAACTGATGTAGCTTGTGAATTTATTATTATTCAGTATATTCTTTTTTTTTTTCTCGGTACCTGTGATTGAACTTGGGACCTTGGGCTTGCAAGGCAGGCATGGTACCATTGAGATAAATCCCCAGCCCAGTACATTCTGACGTTATTGAACCTAAATGTTTCTGGTCTATGTTGATGGCAGAAATGGTTCACAGAACAACCTTTTTAAGATACTTATTTCTTTGAGTATCTCCCACAGAAGTAGAGTGACTCTGTGTTAAAAAAGTATCTGTCTTCCTTTCATTCATCTGCCTTTTATTTTGGATTCCTCTCCTAGCTAAGAACTCAACAAGGTTAGAAGGCAAATTATACTTTCTTCTATTTCATGACTAATCGTTAAGAAACTTATCACTTGTCAGGTTTTTTTTTTTTTTGTACCGGAGATCGAATTTAGGACTTTGCGCCTATAAGGAAGGCAGCAGCACCACTGAGCTAAATCCCTGGCCCTGTCAGGTTTTATCAGGTAATATCAAAAAAAGACTATCCATAAAGTTGTTACAGTATTTTTTCCTTTTTATCAGTACAACCTCTGTGAAGTTGAATTTCCTTCATATTCTTCAGTCAAAATAAGCTACTGGGCTGGGCACAGCGGCACGCACTTGTAATCCCAACACTTTTGGAGACAAAGCAGGAAGAAGACAAATTCAATTAAGACCCTGTCTAGAGCTGGGGATTTAGCTCAGTGGTGCTGCCATCTGTCTTGCAAGTGCAGGGTCTTGAGTTTGGCTAATGGTACCAAAAAAAAGGGAACCTGTCTCAACATTAAAAAAAAGTGCTGGAGATAACACCCAGTGCAAAGGCCTTGAGTTCAGTCCCTAATACCAAAACAGCAACAATAAAAAATTTGAAACACATTGAAACAGTAAATAACTATCTTTTTCTAAGTCAGTCATGATTTCTAAAAATGCCACTCCTCAGAATTTGTTGTTTCAGAACAAATGGGGTAGGTGGTTGAGGTTGTTAAATTTAGGTTTTCATGCCTTGTAACTTTTCTTTTAGTGCTACATCCCCCTCCAAAAAGTGAATTATGTTAACAGGCACTTGTTATTTTGGGCTTCTTGAGATATGTACTCTCATTGGTTGGTTGTATACTTAAAAAGTTGAACTAATATGTGAAAAAAATTATGCATATTATTGGGTTAAGTGGAGTTGCAGAGTAAAAACTTTTAAAAAAATCCTCCCTTTAGCTTTTTTAAATACATAGTACATTATTAACTGTAGTCATGAACACTTACTTGAAAAGGTAAATTCTTTTACCAGGCAAGTAACTTCTATGGCTATGGAAAAATTATTATTAAAAGGTGATTCTTTTGAATTTAAATTTATTTTAACTTAAGGGTGGAATTACAATCATTTGAAGAGCAAGTGCCAAGCTGTGAGGTCAGGGGGAAAAAAAAAAGAAAAAGAAAATGGAAACAGCAAGGTCTGAGTCACAGACCAATCAGTAGTAAAGATAATGACCCTTTCTGGAAATTTTGAGTCAGGCTTGACATGTGTTGCTAGAGTTAGAGATTTTAGCTTCCAACTTTGTTTTATGGAGAAGATAATCTACCTAAGATGTATTTTTCCACAGTACATTTATACATCTTATTCTCTTCCTCTACTTTCAGTGCTTATGTTGAAAAATTAATAGTGTTTTCAGTTAAATATTTTGCATCTTTTTTTTGGGTACCCGGGATGGAACTCAGGACTTTGAGCTTGAGAGGCAGGCGCCAGAACCACTGAGCTACATTCCCGGCCCAGCATCTGTTATTTTTGTAATGTCAGCGCCACAAGTAAACCCATGTTAACCTTTTTATTTTTAATTTGTGTGTGTGTGGCTGTACTGGGAATTGAACCCAGAATCTTTGTATTGAGCTACATCCCAGACCTTTTAAGATAGAGTCTCACTAGCCCAGGCAGAGCTCTTAACTTGGGATCTTTCTGCCTTAGTCTCCCAAAGTGCTTGGAATTGCAGGTATGTACCACTGTGCCCATTTATATATTTTTTTATATTGGTGGACATGGTCAGTTTTAGGGGAAGCATTTTCTGACTTTGGGGGGGGTGCCAGGGATTGAACTTAAGTCCTTGGTGCTTTCGAGGCAGGTGGTGGCACAACTGGGCTAAATTCTCCCCCCCCCCCCGTAAC